TTTTGCTCCGAACTGGGCTAATGAAAACGGGCAAACGCCATACAGTGTGCTATGAGGGAAATTTTGCCCGGACAGCAGCACTACGGCCTACTCTTATATCCAATTCCAACTGTCAAGGGATCTTTTACGTTCACATCAATGTGTACACAGGACCTCGGTTTTCTGTATCATCCGAATGACTAGACAGCTGTCCTTGTCAGGTCCTCCGTTCTGCATCACTGACAAGGGGGAACCACGACGGAAAATCTGGGTGAACTTTACCCACTTAGCCACCATGACCTCATCCGCACCCCCACCAGGAATAAACAGCATTCGGAAAAGATGAAAAAGTGAGGTTCTCTGTATATGTTAGCGTATGTGTACATGTAAAAGGGCACTCAACAGTTGGAATTTGGTGAAGAGTAGGTGGAAACGCAGTTCAGCTCTAAATGTAACTTCTTGTTCCACTCGCCCTGTACGTTAAGGAATGGGCCCATTGACAACTTGTCACAACTTTTTCAGTCCCCACCCAGTAAACTGGGCTAGTTTTTACTGCTAAATGGTCGCACATCCAAGAACTTCATTGCCAAACAATTAAATCAAGAACAGATTTTAAGCTCTTGTACCTTGTGTTTAAGTGTTTACATGAAAACATGCCTCCCTATATAGCAGATCTTTTATCACCATATTTTCCTCATCTTCAATAGAAGGCTTGATCTCGCCTTACCTGTAACTACGTACATCTTATCAAGTTAGATGTTGTAAAACTCGCGGTCTTTGCTTCAGGAACATGTATTTTCCTTGATGTGTACTCTGTTCTCAAAAAGAACACCTTAGAATTCCAAAATATAAACTCAAATCATTTGGATACAGAACTTGTGTTCAAATTGTGCCTGTCCTGTGGAATTGGTTACCTCATCCAGCATAGAAACATTCACTTTAAAAACTCATCTATATACGGCCTATTTTGGAACCCTGACTTTGTAGCACCTTTAGCATAAATTTCCCACATAACACACTGCATGGCGTATGCCCGTCTTCATTGGCCGGTTAGTACCGAAAAGTAGGATGTTAACCCCAGTCTGACTGAAATACAGATCTATATTTCGTTTCATTTTTTATACTTTCAATGGCCTCCACTACATGAAGATCTGACCAGTTGTAGTGAGAGGCGGCCTCAGAGGTTATACACGCAGCTTTTGACCCTATGTCAGACATTTGATTAACCAATCAGCGTTGATGTTTCAAGTAGGTATTTCAAAATACAACTTTTGATTTGTCTTCACAAGCGGCTTTTGACCCTATGACATCAGACATTTGATTAACCAATCAGCGTTGATGTTTCAAGAAGGTATTTCGAAATACAACTTTTGATTTGTCTTCACTGCAAATGTTTACCCACAGTTCCATCCAAGAACTTGCCACAACAGTCAATTTCATTGGCTAATCCTTCACACCAACCAGAACACAGAGGCACATTGTTACCCAAAATTTTGTCAAAACAAAATCATACACTGATTTGACTGAAATGTGCTGCTAAAATGTAATTTTGGGGCATGACCATCATCCTCAGTTATCCCCAGTGGAATCGTTCCATTCTACTCCACTAAACTCTGGGTCCATTCACAGGGTTTTCATGAATTCAAATTATCTTCCCTTGATCGTAGCTTGATTCTATGAACCAATCAAAAAACAGTTTACATACCTGTCTTAGCGTCATAGATTGCGTTCACCACAATATTCTTAGTTTCAATAAAATGCGAATTACTTCCCTTGATTGGTCGATAAAAATAGCAGAAGTATCAAGGGCAGATAATTTGCCTGTATCTCCCCCGTGGACGGAGCCAGGGGGTAGTGGAGTAGAATGGAACGATACCACTAGGGATAGAGAATGCATGACTGTAGGCTGGACAATTACCAACACAAGAAAATCAAATACATGTACAACCCACAGACTGAGAGAGAGAGAGAGAGAAATGAGGTTTAACGTCCACTCGACACAAACTAGGTCATTTCCAGATTAACATATGGTTCAATTTTATTTCAATAATTCGCTCGCGCGTAGGGGTCTTTAGCAGTGGGAAGAAACCGGAGGACCCGGAGAAAACACACGAGGTTAGAAAGGTGACCCTACTCCTTGTCACGTACAACTGGGGAATCGAAACCACACCAGGTGTCTCAATGACAGACCTTATGATACAGCGTGCCCGTGCTACTAACTATTCGGCCATCCAACCCCCCAGACTGCACAGAGACTGTTTCTTTATAATGAAAGAGAGAGAGAGAGAGAGAGAGTGAAATTGGGTTTTAAGTCCACTCAACACAAACTAGGTCATTTTGGGACTAACTTAGTTAAATGTTATTTCAATAATTTGCTTGCGCCTACTGATCTTTAGCAGTGGGAGAAAACTGGAAGACCCAGAGAAAACCTGCGAGGTTAGAAAGTTAACAAAACTTGTCACGTACAAGCAGAGAATCGAAACTATGCCACTTGACTCAATGACAGACCTTGTGATGCAACGCGTATGCGTTAAACCATACGGCTACCCAACCCCCCATTTTTACAGTGAAACATAGGCTCAAGAGATGTTGAGTCAGAGCAGCATTGCAGCGCCTTGGTATATTTCAACATAGTACAATACACATAATGCAATATACAGAAAAGTCTATTTTTAAGTGTAACTCAAAACACTCCATATCGATTGACAATTAGTACAATCTAATTTCATGACAGATTAAACCGACAACTTTAGACGATTGCTCAATTCAAATTTTGATGCAATACAAATGAAATGAAATGAAATGGGGTTTAACGTCCTACTGTTCTGCTCCTATACTGGGCTAATGAAGACGGGCATACGCCATACAGTGTGCTATGAGGGAAATTTTGTCCGGGCAGCGGCACTATCGCCTACTCTTATATCGAATTCTAACTGCCAAAGGATCTTTTACATGCATTCCAATGTTTACACGGGACCTTGGTTTTTCGTCTCATCCGAAGGACTAGACAGCTGTACTTGTCAGGTTCTCCATCCTGCATCACTGACAAGGGGAAACCATGTCGGAAAATCTGGATGAACTTGCTAGTTCTCGACCAATGCAGGGATCGAACACCCGACCTCCAGGCTAGCGAGCCAGCGCCTTACCCACCTAGCCACCGTGGCTCCCAAACTCTTATGATGCAATTCAAAGAAAAACAATGTCAATGGTGGGGAAAGATTCAATAATAGATATTTTGGATTAAGTTTAAAATCCAATTCAAAATAAGTCAAGAAATAATTTTCTGTTGGCATGTATTCTAAACAAATGGGTTTTCTCACCTATGCTGTATATTGTATTATATTGTATTGCTGTATTATTTTAGGCATGTAATAGGGAATAAACACAAGAAATATCGCCAGATATTGTGTTGCACAGCCCCATCCATCGATTTCTTTACAAGGATTTGATTACTATAACTAAATACTATATTAGAATCTTCTAAATAGGAGCATGGACGCCATATATAGAATATGATGCTTCATCACATGCGACATCGTGCGCACGCTAATTTTTATTCGGAAGCTTATATTGGAAAAGGAACAAAATATCTTGTAGCCGATAGATTTTATCAAATCACATAATTATGCGGTACGGTATCATCTCTATTTCAATGAGAATTGGTTTATTATATGTTCAGCTATGTGCAGTGGAAAGAGAGAGAGAGAGAGAGAGAAATTGGGTTTAACGTCCACTCGACACAAACTAGGTCATTTCGGGACTAATATATGGTTTAATTTTATTTACATAATTAGCTTGCGCGTAGGTGTCTTTAGCAGTGGGAGGAAACCGGAGGACCCGGAGAAAAGCCACGAGGTTGGACAGGCGACCATACTCCTTGCCATGTACAACCGGGGATTCGATATGTGCAGTGGACTTTGTGGACAGTTTAATTGGAAATTAAAGGAGCTAAATCGCTAATATTTGGGACCTAGAAATTGACAAAAGTGGGTCGCAACGCATATAATACTGTAATATGAAGGTATATAAACTGATTTACATTCAATGGTTTCCGTTTTTACTCCAATTTCAAATCAGTAATGTTCGGCGAAATAAGCCAGCAGTCTCAAGCGAGTGCAAATTTCTAGCATCTGGTTATTCCAGTCTACATACGCCGTTTGATTTGGTGCAATGTGTCTAGCCTCGTCCCTCGAGTCTCTTGATACAACTGGGGCTGAAGCGCATTATGGTACACGATTCATGTACCAATGGTAAGTACCAATGGTAAAATGTTTATTTTGTCTTAAATATTGGATATCAAAAGCCCATCTTTTTCCGGTAAGACCACAACATCAATGTTGATTTAATTTGACAAATAAATCGTGTTTTCAATGTTGAAGATTTTGGATGATATTGAGTTAGAGACTTAGCTACTTTAAGGGAGTTACAGGCCAGTAACTTTTCTGTAATCAAATGATTACAAAACATTAGAACCATGCACGTGTACATGTTGCTGGAGGCATGCCTGAAGACATTGATCAGTAGTAGAGAAGCTTAGTGGAACCATTTCTAACTGGCATCTTTCGAAAGTTTAGTATGCCACTAATGAAATAATCTGCTGGGCTTGATCGGAAAAAAATATTGTCATTGCCTCTTTAATATAACAATGACTCTCTCCTCTTTGTTTTTAAAACAATTTTTGTATTCATATATATCATTTTGGAATATAATAGGTTTTGGGAACAGGCAAAGCCTAATTTAAGACCCCAACATGACCTCTCCATTTGGTTTGGAAGGTTAAAAATTATAGTGTTCATATATATTACCATAACAATGTAATCTAAATCTACTGCTTACATAAATTACATGCTTAAAAAACTTTACAGCGAACGCAAGTCCCTGTCTAAACTGTAATAAACTTCATTTGGAGCTCAAAATTCGAGCCAGACAGGCAGGTGTCAGTTTTTCAAAGGTGGTTTTACATGTCACTACGACCTATTTTCAAAGTTATGTTGTTCAAATATGATGACAAATATATCTACCTTCTAACTGGACCTTTAATTACTTTGGTATCAAAGAAAATGACAGCTGACAGCGTTTAAATTTCGCCCCCCACCCACGCACTCTTTACGGCCATTTTCAGTGAATTGACTGTACTTGCCTGACTTAATAGAAACCGCAGACATGTTTTCGTATTTGACCTTATCTGTATTTTCATCAATAAATTCATATAAATGTTTTGTTTCACCGTTGTAAACAAATAAAAACCCCAAAAATATACGTACCTGTCTGGTTACCATAAATTAATTCGAGTTTTGACGGTAAAACTAAAGATAAGTAATTCATTTACGCAATACGATGACGTCAGTGGCTGCTCAGTGCGCTGCGTAAACATTATTACGTCTTTGTAACTCAAAAAACTTTGAAGTGTGGGGACACCCTATGACATTCCTCTAATGTATTTGAGCGATATATTCGAAGTTTGTTGTTTTGCCATTGTATTGCGACCATGCAAGTAAACGTCTATAAAGCATTTATGCTCCAATAACTCCGAATCTTTGCATAATGTTTTGTGAACCATGCATTAGTGAGGGAGGCGTGAAAGTAGGTCACACATTGACCCGATTGACAAGGAAGTGGCGCGGTCAGTAGCCTCGATCAGTAGGCACTTTATTATAACGGTATAGTGGCTCTGTTCATAATTTAATGGCATCGCGCGACGGCTTAATGAATTAAGAAAAAAACTCATTTCACATTGTATTATATAATCGATCAATAATCAATAGGCCTACTAATATATCGTCCATACAAGTAATTCAAGGACATGCTGTAATAATGGAAGCTATGCTAAGTCAAGTCAATTCCTGACAGAAAAATGATCTCCACACCAGTCGATACAACTAGGTCATTTACTCATTTAGTCACTCAGGGCCAATCATCTATGTAAGTCATGAGTTCGATCCCAGGTCCCCACGTGACAAGAAGTAGAGTCGCCTGCCAAACCTGGTAATGGGTTTTCTCCGGATATTAACCCCCGCCCTCTCCCCGCATATTGACACGTGCACTTCTAAAAAAAAATTGCGCGCCAAAGATTTAATAAAATATAAAAGGCCCATATTTTAACCCAGTTTGTGTTGAATGGTGAATATTCAAAATTTTGAGGTGTAGGACGATAAGGTAGGCTACAGAGAGAGAGATTAATTGTATCCTATTTTTAGCATTTTTGGAGACTGGTAATTATGCCTACTTCTGGTATTCCTACCCATTTTGTAGACACGGTTAAATCAGATTAAATATCGGCGCCTTAACATATATAAACACATAAAGACACACGTAGCCTACTAAATGGTGAGACTGTGCCTGTAAGAATATAGACACGCTCAGAGAGAGTATCATAGATTATTATTGACGTCATAGACAACATCGTAGGCTTCAGTTCATGGCATTTCTCGCTGGCATCGTTTGGTGTCAGTTAAATGCTTGTTGTATTATAATTGCGACAGCACGCTGAGGAAACCATTTGGTGTGTTGCAGATTGAACTAGATTTCATAACGTATCATTTGTAAGAAGTTTGTTTCTTAGTACTACGTAACTGGACACGTCTAGCCTACACACAGAGACTTCTGTAGCTGGAGAAGGGCTACATCTATTTGTCAAGTCCAACTCAATTTTCGTCAAGGTCCCTGAGATGTAAATAAGGGTAGGTCACGTGATTGTTGGTGAGATTGTAGGTTAGGGTTAGGGTAAGCATTGGGACTAGGTCCTGGGTTAGGGTTGGGATTAGCGTTAGCCCTGTTTACATCTCGTGGCCTTTGACCAAACTTGAAGTTGGCCTTGTCAGATAGATCTAACCCTGTCTGCACCGACTGGGCTAAAGAACGCCAATGTATAACGGGACCTCGGTTTTCGTCCCATGCGAACGACTAGAAACTGGCCATGCCAGGCCCTGTATTCTTCACACCTCACAATGGGGAACCACGCCACAAACTCCCGAGGTACATCGCGGCCAACGCGAATGTATGAAAAAAAACCCACACAAACCCCATAGACCAAATTCAAAACCACAATCAAATTTCCCAATATCGCGTAATGCTCTATTGTGCGTCCTTCACCCATATACTGCAATTTACCTTTATATATTATCTAATTGACCTATATTTTATTGGGAATATTAAACAAAGCCCAAATATCACAACCGCAATAAAATTCATCTACATCGCGTACTGTTATTGTGCGTCGTCCTTCACCCACATACTACAATTTACCGTGTCACATTGTCTAATAGGTCTATATTTTATTGGAAACATGAAACCGTTTGAAGAAATAAAAGAACGTAATGTCAACACAATATACAACACAACAAAGACATTAAAATAAATTCTATATAACCCAACACGTTTACTTCATTGTTGACAACATCTTAAAAAGAGTAATTTCATTAAACTACTATAATAGTAAACGCACGCAAGAGTTCAAAACTATTACGAAATACAAAACCTGTATTACAATATCACGCTGAAAAGTCATCGACACAACCGCAACGGATTGCAAAAAAGGACTTCAAAAGGTTTGAACTAAAACCATAGTGAAAAGTCGGGTGTATTTACTTACTAGGTCATTCAAGGTGCAACTGGCAAATATTCCAGATAGCATACTCTGAACATGACCACCATATGCATCAAAGATCAGATAATTATAATGTTCGAATCCGTGCATTTATTTTTGGAAATCAATCAGTATTCTCCGGTAGCGCGAATTATGCACGTGCATCAACAATACACCTTTTTTAAAATCGCAATTATTACTTCCAAAGCCCAAAATTTGTAAAATGAGATAAATAAACAAAGGTATAGTGCGCGCGCCCTTTAAACGCTGAAAGTAAAAGTAGCAAGGAATAAAGAACTTACCTTTAAAAGTGCCAAGCAGGTGCGTTACCACGTGTCTCCAATATACTTATACATCTCGAAGGAAGTCTTTTGTCAATAAATCTATGACTCGGTGTCGTTTTGAACGAATGATGCTTTGTCTTTACGCACGGTACATAAATACTATTCTACGTTACGATATAACTAACTAACGGTTTATATACCTGCTCGGCAATAGCACGATAGTTTATCGATTGAGAATCAATGTGAAATGTGAGCTCTTTTATAACTTTAGACTGGGGAAAAACCAAGCTAAACATCAATCTAGTGTCTTTGGCCCGATTCCCCGTATTCCGCGTGACCAGGAAAATAAACTCCGATTGATCGACTGACTACAGTTAGAATGTAGAAATCATATTTTTATACAGAAGAATAAATTGATTGATTTACGGACCTGAAGATCAAACACACAGGCTACAGCAAGCATGTTATATTATATCATTACTAAGAACAACATTATTGTATTATATAAGCCATCATTATAAAAATCGAAAATGCTGATCAAGGCAGTCGTTTTGCAACATCAATGATGAGATAAAAATTAAATTATCACTTAGTTAATATGATAGAAATAAAGATGAAATAAGAGGATAGCCTTTGGAATATAGTAATTAGTTGTCTGGAATATCTGCCATTGTTCACCCTAATCAAATGTTTATATAGGCCCTTTGACCGTGTCCCCAGACAGCCGAATTTACCAATAGGCATAGTAGAGCCCTGGGGTATCTGGGGACCGGTTGATGAGTTCAGCATAGGACCCACAAGTAACAAGTAGGCAAATCTGACCCTGACTGAAACATGCTAACATTTCCATAAATTTTGGGATCCAGTGATGAGTTTGGCCTATAAGGACCTACGAAATAGGTAAATCCGACCCTGCCCTCACAGCAGGATGGGTATATTGTTCTTTGGCCGTCCTGTTTTGCACGAGGTCCGTATAGTCACACAACTATAGGTATTGGGTTTGACTCAAAAGATCCAAATTCCAATAGTTAAAGGAATCAATGGGTGTTGTGCAAGGGGTAGGATCGAATGTTCCTTCCGGAACACCTGATACCACTTCAAGTCACATAGCCCAAGAATCCATGAGCTGATGGGCAGGCTTAGATAACTTGATATTCTCGAGAATTTTCTTCCGCACCGAAAGTTAGTCTTTATAAATATTGTTTGCTTTGGTCAGTTTTCGAAGATTCGTAAGATTTTGAGAAATTTCTCGTGGATTTCCTTCATGTTCATGAATCACCTTACAAGAGAGAGGGAGTTTCCATAGGCTAAGCCTGTTCCCTAATCCAATTTAGACATCCTGAATAAAAAATATTGCTTAAAAAAAATCACCTTACGTTATACACTAGCTTAATTATTTACCTTTTCTGTACCAACTCTTCACCCAATTCCAGCTCTGTTTTTCGACCCACCCGAACGACTAGATACTGTTCCTTGCCAGCCCTTCCGTCCTTGGCTACTGACAAGTGAAAACCACGCTTAAAAATCTCTTTAAGTTTTATGGTTATTAACAGGCTGGCTAACCAGGAGTGCTAGAGTTCCTCCGACGTGGTTTCCCCTTGTCAGTGGTGCAGGGCGGAAGGTTTGGCAAGGACAGTGTCTAGTCGTTGGGATAGGACCGAAAACCGAAGTCCCGCGACAGTTGGAATTGGAAATAAGAGATGCCCGTAGCGCCCCCAGCACACTGCATGCCGTATGCCGGTCTTAATTAGCCCATTCGGTGCAGAAAAAGTAGAACGTTCAACCCCATTTCACTTTATTTATTTCATATCTTGTAAAATGATACGAAGTCTGCTTTTTTGCTCTGTGTGTGTATTGGGCCCCGACAGGGCTAATGAAGACGGCTTACGCCATACAGTGTGATATAAGGGAAATTTTGCCCGGGCAGCGGCACTATGGCCTACTCTTATATCGAATTCCAACTGCCAAGGGATCTTTTACGCGCACGCCAATGTATACACGGGACCTCGATTTTTCGTCCCATCCGATCCACTGACAAAGGGAAACCACGTCGGTGTCGTGTTATGTAATCCTATCTAATGCTCAGTACATCTTCTAAAACATAAAGTGATTTTGGTGGGTTTTTTAAGATATGCGTTCAAAATCACTAAAACGATACGGGTCTCCTTTCCCATAGTACAACAGCTTGCATACAAGTTGCAATAATCTGGACCGCCTCCATAACATTTTCAACCGTCTTATCATTTGTAAATGTCATAACCAAAGCTCAGTGGAATTGATTTGTAACAAACACAACG